GCGTAGGGATGTTTTGGAGGGGGTGGGGCTTGGGACTTGTGCAGCTTAGCCGACTTTTGGGCTTGTAAGCTTCAGGTTCAGTGTTCAGGAAGTAGAACGATTCGCTGTCACAGATGTGAGCTGAAGGGGGAGGGGGTGTGCTAGGGGGTGCCTGACTAACCTGAGTCCAAAGCTTGGAAGCCGAAGGCGCAGGAGGTGTTGTGCTGCTTGAACATTCGCCTCGGCTTCCTGCCGAGAAGCGTCTGGAACAAGCAGACCTGGATCCGGTCTCCTTCCCCCGCCCCCCCGCTCTGTGGGCCCCCCCCCCGGATCGCTTGGAGCAGCCGCAAACCGATGTCGTGCTCTGCGTCTTCAACCCCCGAGCCCAAACCACCCAATCTATGACAAACAAGTACACCACATAACCATATGCGCTGCCTTACTCTCCAAGCCCAACTCTCGCAGCAACTGTTTTTCTGCACGGTCGCGGGCTCGCACAAGAAGGCCGGGCGTCCACGACACAGGCCTTCAGGCTTTCGACGGCTGATATGATTTGGCGGCGGCTTGTCTCGATGCTTTCGAGGACGGGGCCAGGGCACAAGAGACAGGGCTTACGGCCAGTCTTCTGGGCGCATACAGCAAAGGCCGACCTTGTAATATCCCACCGAGTCCGAAGACGTCGAAGCAAACGTTGTACCCTGGAAGCCCCGGCGCCCAAGTAAAAGCTCTCTGCATTTAAGGAAGGTTCCGCGCGCCTTAGGACGTCCACTTCGTCAAAGACCTTTGTCAAGCTGGATGTTGCGGCGCACACTTCTGGTGATTCCGGTGGATTGCCTTTTCGGGGGCACACCTGCAGTGAAGCCCATGTCCCCTACAGCTTACCTTCGCAACCCCGGGCTTTCCTCTCCTTACGGGTCCTCGATGGGAGGGCCTGAAGATGCCCAGACCTAACCTCAGTGCCCCCAAGGAATTGCGGCTTACCTTTTTTGGGGGTCCTGCCCCCGCGTCCCCTCGCCGCTGACCTCCCGGTATGCTGCCAACAGCTCGCTGAGCTCCTTTTGGCTTGTGGTGCTTGACGGCCAAGGCCCCAGATGACAACTTCGAGACATGGGACGTCTCGCGGATAGGAACTCTAACTTGGAAAGGCTACAGAATGAAAAGCCTGACACCTCAGCCGCGAAAAGCCTGGCCCTGTCAGCTTTCTGAACCCTTGCTCCTTGGTTTGCCGCCGGTAGGTCACCGGGCGAAGCCTCGTTGACTTAAGGTCCACAAAAGCAACAGCCTCTGCAGCCGGAAATGCAGTTGATTTCTGATGTTCTCACAGCCCAGCGACGGTCCAGCAGGTGCGGCGTTTCGCACCCAGCACGTACCTCGGAGACGGGATTCTGTGGATTTGGCTTCGAACCCTTCGGGCTTCAAAGCTTCGCAGTGTTGAGGGCTCAAATCTTGACCTGCAAGTGGTAAGGCTGTTCCTTTTGCCACAGAGCCTCGACTCTCAACAACAAGCGACCGATGGACTCCGGGGACATTGCATCTAGCCAGTCTGGCAAACCAAAAGCATGCCGAAAGTCCAAGGTGCACCGCACAGCACCATCCTCGTCGGCTCCAAACCGCCTTCTTCCAAAGCGCTTCAGGGTTTCTGGGGACCTCCTGGATTCAAACACCGACCTGAAACTGCAATAAGCCGGGGTTGAAACTGCTCAGACATGCTCAGACCATCAACCGTCATCCCACAACACAGATCTCCCGGCCTGCTGCGCGCCTCGACTGGGCGGAAAGAGGCGGGGCTGTCGATGACATTCTGCAAAACAAGGCCTCCGGGCCTCATTTGCACATGGCATGGGGCACACAAAAGGGTTTGCGGTAGAGTGAGTGGTTTGCAACGGTTCAACTCCGAGGCATCAATTTGCTGCGCTCTCATAGTCGCACATTTCGCACTCTCAGGGAGATTCGAGGAATGTCTGAGAAGGATTCGGGATCCCGGCAGTGCTACACTTATGCAGTGCACGGCTTCGGTAAAGAAGTACGCACTCTCAAGCAATCTGGGCTGGGGCTGCGAAACAGCACCTGCCGGAACCCTGATCCCCAACACCCTCCTCCATGCCGCTGGCCTCAGCAGCCTCTTGAGACCGCGAAGGAAGTCCGGCGACCTCCGCCAGCGGTTTCGGCTTTGTGACATATCTCTTTCGTTTTGGAGCTTTGGGGCTGGCCTTAAGTGCTTCAGGAGCGCGGGTATCGGTCTTGGGGCTTGGGTCCTGCCTTCGTTTGGAAGAGAAGAAAAAGCTTGAGGTACGGCAACACATGCCTGCGACCTGCATGAACCCTAGAAACCCTATAAACCCCTAGACCCTCGCACCTTGTGAACGAAGGTGTGGTGGAGCTGTGGCCTTGAAAGATGTCCTTGGGTGCAATTTGGGCAGCTTCTCACAAAACAGGCTCCATAAGCGTGCGGAGTTCAAGTTCAAGATTCACAATCAGCAGCAAAAGGCAGATCATCAGCAATGCGCAACATGCGCGTAACTCGAGAGTCAAGCCGCTAGATCCATCAAATTTGTTAGTGTGGACCTGCCTGAGATTCCAATCAGACAGCTGATTGCAAGCCTTGCTTCAATGGCGCAGCCATCGAAGAAGCCTTGCCTCCCGGCACAGCGTGGATATTTATGGTGCTTGGAGATCACACTAGTCGGAAACTTGCGCCCACCCAGGTGAAGGCATGGAGGAGAGCTCAGTAAATAAAAGAGTGTGGCCGATGGAGAAAAAAACTGCGGAAGGAGAGGCAGGACAGAAGCATCAAGCCGTGCAAAAAAGCCATTTTGTGGCGCTCGAACCAAGCAAAGCTCTCAGAAATAAGGCAGTGAGGTCTTCGGCATTTGTTGCGATTCGAACGACAGGACGATTGGAGGAATAGACTGGAATACGAGGAACAGAGTCTGCCCCGACCCCTACCCCTCCCTTGCCCTACCCCTACCCCTACCCCTACCCCTGCCCCTGCCCCCTATACTACTACTACTACTACTACTACCACCACTACTACTATATACCACTACCACTACCACTACGAGTACCAGTACCAGGACCAGTACCAGTACCACTACTCCTACCAGTACCGCTACTACTACCAGTACCACTACCAGTACCAGTACCACTACCACTACCACTACCACTACCACTACTACTACTACTACTACTACTACTACTACTTCTTCTTCTAGTGCTAGTACTAGTACTAGTACTTGCACGTACTACTTCTAGTACCACTACGAGTTCTCATACTGCTACTATTGCTGCTACTCCTGCCAGACCACCTACCACCCTACTACCTTGTACCTACCACTACCGACTCCTCCAAGTGCTCCTGCAAGAAAAATCAGCCCTGATTCTGGCCTGGTGCTTTGTGATGCCACAAAGTCGCAGGCGTCCTCTATCCGAACTTCCAGCGCGGCTCCCTGAAACCATGGTCTTGGGATTAAGGTAGTCTCCAGAATGTAGTTTATGTTCAGCCACGAAGCAACCGAGAATCATGCGAGAATCATGCCCCAACCTCGCGAAGCAAATGCAAGGCCTCCAAGTGCTCCAGGCCGAAGAACCGACGCGCTAGATCCTGGCGTGGAGGATGCTGGCATCCTGTCCTGCTCTGTATCACAGTTACCATCAGAACCGTACCGTTCTAGGAAGGTGTATTTCCGAGTATGCCCTGGCTCTGCAGGGCTTGAACATGGGCACCCCGCAGTTTTGAGTCCAAGCGAAGCCCTTTGCAAGCCCAGGTAGAAGAGTCATGCATCTCTTCAGGCAAGCAACGTAAACCAACGCCGAGGACTCCACGGCGAGCACCTGCTGCTTGCGCTTTCTGACCTCTATAAGTTTTCTTGGGAAGGCTGTTGTCTCAAAATCTGCAAGTTCTCGTATGTCAGCACTAGGTTGCTTACGAGCTGCATTGGAGGTAACTCTCCCTACAAGGAGCCTGGAATCTAGAAGGCCTGTAATCCCCAAATGTCCCGGCATCAAAACCCCCAAAACTCCTTAACAGCACTTATCCTCCTGTTAGCTAGAAACCCTAAAGTTGCCCAAAACCCTGTCCCCAAAACAAAGAAGTCTCAAAGCCCAATCCCCCTAAACGTCGAGGTGCAGTTTGAAATCCGAAACCCCTCAAACGGAGGTTGAGCTAGGAACCCTAAAAGGAATAAACCCGACAAGACGAGGTGAGAATGTGGCTGGCGGAAACCTCGGGTTCGTGCGATCCTCAACCATCCAAAAAATCCTCAATGCTGTGTCCTAACGTGCAAATCTCTGGACAGATTCGGGAACTAAAGCCTAAACCCTAAACCCGCGTCGAAACCCTGAGAGTTGCCTTGGCCCCGCCCTGCACTAAGGCGGCCGGCAGAAGGCCGCCCCCTAGGCCCAGAGCCTGAGCACTGAACTTGGAACCCTAGCGATAATTTCAGCTGTTTCTTAGGATTTCAAGTACCCAAACATCATTTCCAAGTATCCCTACTAAGTATCTCCTTCGGGGTTTGACAAGGGGCTCTGTACCCTCTGGAGAGGAAGCTCAGGTTCAAAAATTTAGAGGCTCATTGGATCCTAAGATCCTAAACCTGTAAAGCCCTGAACCCCTCAAGCGCTAGATGCCTGAACCATGAACCCCTCACTACCGTCGAAGGTCGAGCCTTGAATTCCAAAGAAGAGCCCGAGCCACCCTTTCTACGTGTGTCTTTTTTAGGTCTTAGGGGTTCAGAGGGTTAGTCTGGGTTTAGGGGCTTTACATGTCAGGGTTGGGGTTTCGTAGGGGTTTCGCCTAAACCGCTAAACCCCTAAACCCTAAACCCCTCAACCGCCTCAACCCTATAAACCCCTACACATACCTAAAAACCCAACCCCCAGACCCGCCGAAGCTTTTCCGACATCACCCGCTCGGAGAGAGTGCTACGATGAAGCGAGCCACCGCGCCTTGGCGGAGATCCAAAAGTGAGCATAATAGCATAACCGATCATGTGTCGGATATTTTGCCAACTGCCCCACTCAGCTCACTTCTGAATGTGATTGAGGGTGATCTCCATCGGAACTGCCTGCAGCATGTCTTTCACCGGGCAATGCATATCCGCTGCGGCTTTCAACTGCTTGATGGTCTCAAGATCTGCTGGCGACTCGACTGTGAGGACGCCTTCAATCTTATTAAATCCGGCCCGTACGCTCTCGTCAACTGCAAAGAAACCCCTAAGATCGATCTTGCCGGTGAGATCCGCGGAGACCCGGGTCAACGGCACACCCATTGCGTTCGCATAGGCCTTCACGGTGATCTCCTGGCAGGAGGCGAGGGAAAAGAGGAGGATCTCGACTGGACTTGGCGCCTCCGAAGCTTGCGGGCTCATCGGCCGTTATGTCGAAGTTCCGCATCTTGCCAGTGCTCACCAAGCCATGAGTCAGTTGAGATTGGGAGTGGAATTCCGCCTGAGCCTTCTCCGGATGCGCCTTGAAGTTGGCCTGGATCGCAGCAATGGCCTCCGCCGAAGGGCCTCCCGAGAACTTGCGCACCCACGGCATGGTCCGCGTGCGGAAAGCTCGGAAAGCTCGGAGTGAGGACGCCATGGCTTCGAACTAACCTCGAAATGCAATCTGGACCCCGAGCCCGGAGCTGCCTCGGCGCTTTGAGCCGCTGCTGAAAACTGCGCCACGGAACTTCTCAAGAAGCTACGACAAGGGCATGTAAGGAGCCCTTGGAAAAGGACACTTCGGGGGCGACGGTTGAAGCATGTCGTAATCACGCGATCGGCTTCCTCAGCATAGGGAGTGCTGCAGCATTGCTACAGGCAAGAAATATGAACAAGCGGAATGTCATGTCACGCGGAAGCGATGAATGTGGTCAGGAAACTGGCAATCTTACCGGGGTGAGCTTCATTGTGTGGGTCGCTAACACGAATAAGCTGTAGACATCCAGATGGAAGATGAACGACTTTCGGATGTCGTGACTCCCGGAGTGATAATGACAAGCATGACAATGAAGACAGCGCTGCTAGTTCGTTGAAATCGTACTGATAGGAACGAACTATGACGGTAACAGTAATGAGTCTGCTACAGTCGCGGAGAGGCAGGAGAACCCACCATTTTGCAAGAGGGCCCTTGCTGGTTGTCTCTTGCTGCTACCCTGATCCCTCACAAGGTCCCCTCGACCCGACTCTCAACATACAATTCCGATCGATTTCGGGTTTAAGGGTGTTCAGCAAACCTAACATCATGCTAAAGGAAGTGCCGTGCCTGGGGGTGGGGGGGCAAAACAGATCGGCTCGCACGAATCGGACAACGAACAAACAAGACTCAATCTGGATGTCGCAGAGCGAAACACGAATCACTACATGGCGCACTCGTCTCTCTCGCTCTCTCTCTCTCTCTCTCTCTCTCTCGCTTGGCCCCCCAGAGGGGAGCCGCCCCGAATCTCTCTCTCTCTCTCTCTCTCTCTCTCTCTCTCTTTATTTCAACCTGACCATACTCTCGCTGCATTCCAACACTGTACTGTAATCCACCGTACCGAGCCAACTGTACTAAACGTTTTATGCCGCTGGCAGGCAAAAAGACGACCCCAAGCACCCTCAGCTTCGCAGAACCCCTGAGAACTGCCAAGCTAGGCGCACCAACACGTTGCGCAGGTCCGGCTCAGCTTGCCTTTGGGATTCAGAGGCTCCCAGCACCGAAGCTTTGTTTCAGCATGAGGCTTGAGTCCTTGAGTGCGAATACGTTGCACAGTTGTCGTGCGATTTAAGACTGTGTTTGTTTGGATGTTGGAGTCTAGCGAAGCCTTCAACAAAACACATGCCTCTTCAGATATTGGCTGGGCCAACTCAATGCTGATGCCCACAGGAACGCAAAACCCATTTCAGCAAGCAGAAGAATCCTTCAACACAGTAGCCGCCAATATCTCCCAAATAAAAATCCTGCAACGTTGCAAACTGAACACCCATGGCGCTCACATCCTGCATCTTGTCAAACACGTTCCCAGCCGCTAGCCCAGGCGCTGAAGGAAGGAACCCCCAAGCCTGAAACCCAAATCTTCAACTCACCCACGCTATAGGGCTTTAGAGGCTTGCGACCCCTGCCCTGCACAAGGTGCTAAGCTTTGCACACCCGTGGAGACTGGCCCGGGTCTCGCGCAGGTGTGCAGCAATGCAGCGGAGGTAGGGCGTCCGCCTTCGGGAGGATTTCGTCAAAATAACTGGGTTGAAGACTAGGCATGTTTCAAGGTTGAGGATTACACGAGGGAATCTGACCCTGCCCTGCCTGGAGCAATTGCCGCAAAAAAAGAACTCTGACCCTGCCCTGCCTGGAGTAATTGCCGCAAAAAAAGAACTTGGATGTCTGAGGGGGCTTTGGCAAACTGGGACTTACTTTTGGAATGCGATGGGTTGGGAGATGCCATAAACAGTAAACACGCGAGGAGCCATAGGACATGTCGCGTAAACCTGCTTCAATGCATCAGAGCCAAAAGCAATGCCTCAGTTGTGCTGCCCTTGCGAGGTGATGCTGCTGTGGTGATCACTAAGTCGCTATGTCAGAAGCCAAAGCAGGTCCACAGTTTCAGTGCCCGTGTTTCTGGCTCAGCCTACAACCCGGACAGTCTCCGGACACTTCAGGCCTCAAGGAGCGCTTGGGCTGCAGCGACGGCAATGTACCAGACACAATGGCCTCAGAGCTTCATTGCTTCAGGGCCTTGAAGGGTTATAAAGGCTTAAAGAAGGTTTAGAGGTTCCTGCAGGGTTGCGAGGCCTTGGGTCAGCACTTGACGATTTAGGATTTTGGCGTTTGGGAATCTTAAAGTCTTCAAGATTTCGTGCGCATGTCCCGCGCAAGAACCATCAAGGTCTATCTCGCGAAAGCCCGTAAGTTCAAAAACCTCCGCAGACTACAGCTCCAAGCAATGTTTCTTTCGCCAGTCTTAGTTTGGGGCTTCCGCAAGTTCGTGTTCCAAGTTCTGCAAGACGCAAGTTTCATGAAAATTCTCGAAGTTCCACAAGAAGGTAAACACGACTCGATCCTGGAACTAGAACAGGAGTAGGGTCATAGACACGCAAGGGGCCAAGGGATGCTACTGTAGGGATGCCCAGCAGATGAGCTGCAACAAAGGCTCAGAAGTTGGGACCCATTTTCGACCTCAAGCTGTTGCCTTCCTCCAAGCTCTGCACCTCAAACCCTTAGACCGCTTGAGTTGCTTTTGCTGGGATTTTTTGTGGCGAAAGATCTTGGCATCTTCAGGTGCGCAATTGAGCTTAAGCTCCGGCCCAGAAGACAAAAAACTGGCTCACCGAAACTGCCAACATCTAACCCAAAGCTCCTCTAAGAACTTCTCACTACAAACAAACTCCATCAACCCCCTCCCCCCTCTACTGCGAGGGATCCGGGATCCGCACCTCTGTCTGGAGATAGGATCCTCCGGAGTCCCGGAACCACATCTGCCCTCAGCTTCTTGGAGGGTTCTAGAAGAGGCTGATCAAATGGACTTTAGGACTTTAAGGGCGCTTCTTGAAGCCTTATTTGCGGCCATGTAGAGACTTTTATAGGGACTTTATAGGGGTCAATAGGGCTTCGAGAGCCTCGTGAAAACTTGCAGCCAGCAGGGAGCCAGACTCAGGTCGCCGTAGGCCAGCACACCTGAGGCTGGAAACTTTGGCAGCAGGAGACCAGGGCAACCTTGAACCCTGGGGCTCAGGGCTTGGCCCGCAGGACCCTTCAGTAAGCCTTCAAAGCGCAAGCCCTGAATGAATGCCTTTGAAACACCCTCTTCAAAACAGAAGCCCTGCTGTTCTGGCTCCTGGGTGCCCTGACGCACCCAGCCGCCGGCATGCGGCGCGGCGGCGAGCGCCAAGCGATTGGTGCTCGAGAGCCGTGGCATCGATTTGTCAGGGACATCACGGGGATGGCTGTCTTGTGCCCTCTGTGGAGCGGACAGAGGCTTCAGCAACTTGTACATAAAAGCTTGGTTTTCGGGCTTCGTCCTGGGTTTGCGGTGTGTGTGTGTGTGTGCGCTTGCGGGCGGAGAGGTCGGCTTCATTAAAAGCGATGCATCTAGCTTTGAAAATGTCATGGGTCGTCGTCTTGCAGAAGCTGTCTGGGAGCTGCTGCGACCTCACAGGCTCCTGGGAGTCCGGGCAGCACACGCGCAGGCAGACACACACGGGCAGTGATACACACACACACACACACCCGCGCCCACACACACACACACACACACACACACGCGCACGCACAAGTACACACACACACACAAGTACACACACAAGTACAGACAGACACACACACACACACACCCACGAACACAAGTACGCACACGCACACACGTACACGTACACGTACACGCACACGCACACGCACACGCACACGCGCACGCGCACGCGCACGCGCACGCGCACGCGCACGCGCACGCGCACGCGCACGCGCACGCACGCACGCACACCACCCACCCACCCACACCCACCCACCCACACCACACCACACCCACCACCCCCCCACCCACCCACCCACCCACGCCCGCGCGCGCGCGCGCGCACACACCACACCACACACACACACACACACACACACCACACACACACACACACACACACACACCACACACACACAAACACACACACACACACACACACACACACACACACACACACACACACACACACACACACACACACACACACACACACACACACACACACAACACACACACACACACACACACACACACACACACACACACACACACACACACACACACACACACACACACACACACACACACACACACACACACACACACACACACACACACACACACACACACACACGCGCGCGTGCGCACACACACACACACACACCCCACAAACACAAACACAAACACAAACACAAACACAAACACAAACACAAACACAAACACAAGTACGCACGCACGCACGCACGCACGCACCGACCCTGATTTTCCCCACGCACAAAGCCCTTAGGGTTTAGGGTTTAGGGTTGAGAACCTAACCACCCCTCTAGGGTTATAAGATTCTCAGAGCCACAGAAGCATGGCCCAGCAGATATTAGTTTTGTAGAATATTTGTGGAAATTTTAAGGCGCAAAAATGCGGGTGGCGGTTTGGGTTGCAGATGTGGATGCAGATTTGTTGAAGATTTTTTGCAGTGTCTTCGCGGTGTTTTTTGCGTTGCAGATGTGGCCGCAATCTTTGTTGTTTTTTGCAGTCTTTGCTGCTGTTGCTTCTTGCGCTTCGCTTTCCAAGGGTTTTTGTACTTGTTTTGTGCATGTGAGAGATGATCGATTGTGTATTTGGCTGCGTGTCTGCTTGTGGGTTTGTGTACGTCGCAGCGTGTGTTTGTGTGTGTGTGTGTCG